TGCATCGCCGGGAACGCGAGCGACGGAGACGGGGAAAAAGGAGTCGCGGGAAAAGCGGAGATGCTTGCGCGGCTGGTTTAGGGGCTTCCCGGGCTTTCTTTCCGTCGTTTTTCACCGTCCCACGGCCGAAATCTACGCGGTAAATCCTTCCGCGTCGGCGAAGAGTTCCCTCATTATCTTTGATTACGTTCCCGATCCTCGTTCGCGTCTCGGCCGTTCCGGCCGCGCGGGTTTCGCGTTCGACGCGCTGGATCCTCGGCCGTTACGCCCGGCTACCTTGTAATTCAGTCGTTTCCCGGCCGTTCCTTCTGATCCCCGCCGCGTTTCGTGTTCCGAGTGCCGTTTGAGAGTCACGAGACGCTTTTCTCGGCGTTCCGACGGGTCACGAGGATCCTTGGGGCGGAAGAGACAAGCGACAGGGGGTGGCGGGCGTTCAAACGATTGCGAAAGAATTCCGTTGACCGTGGAGCCCGGTTACACGATTTCCCCGAATTCCCTTATCTTCCCGGTGGGCCGCGATAGATCGAATTCTAGCGAGACGTTACGTTTTCCGCGTCTCGCCCCCGTCCTCGCTGCTCTTCGTTTGGCTTCGTCTCGGGCGGAATTCCGGCACGGCAGTCCGATCGCAGGCTGAAATTGATTGATGCACCGCCCGCCGAATCCGACGCCGCTCCTTCTTGCCTCGCTTCGTAACCGCTCCGCGTTTTCGATTCCTTCCGAGTCTGTGCATTAAGTCGGGGACATGTCGAGTCGAAGTCGGATCTCGCGAACGGAAATGCACTCGGCCGATTCATTGCGCGGCACCCCATTTAGCTACCTTCGCCTGCGGAGTCGCTGTTAGGACACTTAGAGGTTTCTTTTATTTTTCCGCCGGCACTTTACTCGATATATATATCTAGTATCGTAGTTTTAAGACAGTGGGACAGCGAGTGTTCTAAATACCACTAATACCACATATATGCTTACGTGTTCCCGTGGAATACTCGATCGGGCAGTATAAGACGCAGAGAAAACACGTTAGACCTCGGAACGCGTTCGTTATTTTCTTCTCGCTAAGCGGGTAGTCCTAAGGGTCCAGTCTTCGTTTCATCAGCATTGGCTAATAAAAGCTACATCAGGGGCTACAGCCATTCGTCGATTTACAGTCTACCTTGTACGCACGACTTCACGATTCCCAGTCGCCGCAGTGATCGACGCTAAATTACTCGACACGCCGAATCGAGAACACCGCGAAGGCTCGAAAGATTTCGTAATCAACCACGATCGCGACTGACAGTCCCATCGCTCGAGATGAATATCCTCGACCCGAAAATCCCACGGCGGTGCAGGCGTTCAACTTCCATCCATTTCCTCCCTCTTCCGTCCTCCTCCTTCGGGCTCGTCCCTTCTCGCCCATCGATTGACGACACCGACGGACCGCACCGAGTTCGATCGCGGGGAATTCGATCTGGTCGCAGGGCCTGGGCTGTATCGCGCCTCGCCCCCCGAACGAGATCGGGAATTTTCGATGGAATCCCGTGAAAAGCGGGCAGCGGCCGTCCGTTCGACGGCGGCGTTGTCAAGATTACAAAGAACCACTCCGGCAAAGAGCATTTGATCTTTCGCCCTCGTATTTAGGTGGACGTGGAAGACATTAATAGGGTTCTTCCGGTTGTCTAGTCGGCCGATCCACTTTGCCAAGGGAGACGAACAGTCCGGGGATCTTCCTCGGCCGCCTAGCACCCCCGATTGGCTGCTCGATGCCTCGGCTGGAACCTCTCTCCATTGTCCTCGTGAATGGCGGAGCCAGTCTAATCACTGTAGCCCATTATAGACGGGTATCTCGGCGTTCCTCTCTTTTTTTTCTCTCCAGCCCACCTTCCGCTGTTCCCTCCGCTCACCTTACGTTCCCCCCGGCCCCGTCCCTTTTCCCGCTCGCCGAGCGAACGGCTTTCCCGTTCGCTAGTCTTTCTCCGTCTTTACGATCGCCATTCGAAAAGTTACTGCCGCCGGCGATAGCTCGGAGCGTTTTTTTAAGACCGATAGCTCGAAATCCCGGCCCGATTGCTACCTCGAGGATTGATTGGCGG